CTGGAAAAGGCAATTTAACATATATTTTTCCTCTAATAGAATACAGATCTCTCATAAGAATCTAAATCCTTCTACTTCTCAAAAACTACTACTAGTGTACAGAATAAAGGCTTAAAATGCTATATTTTATTAAGAAAGATAAAATAATAGCTTTACTATACCAGTCACTACCATATCTGCAAACTAACACAAATACAGTACACAGATATATTAGTATAAAAATGTAGCAGGATACAGTACATAAAAACAACAAGAGTTAATTTAAAGAGCACTCCTATTTTATAACAATTCATCCTCTTCAAATATGTTAGTTACTAGGTGAGAAACAGAACTTGGCCTTAATTACTAAAAACTGCTTATCAAAACCTTTTTATTTTAAAGAAATGAGTTGAACACATTTAAATAGAGAGTTCAAAAACATATTTAAATTCAAGAATGTAAAATTCAATCACAAAAGTTAAGACTTTTTAAAAATCCATACACAGAAAAGAAATTACAATTACATTTAAATTACTATGAATTGCTACATGACCCCACTATAGTCTGTTTTATAATTAGTATCACAAATATTAAACACACCAAAATAATACATGGCTGACAATACAGGATGTGTTTCATCAAAAGAAGGAAATACAAGAAAACAGACATGGGGATCCAGAGGACAAAGGATCCAACATAGGAAAAAAGTGATGGGAATCCCCAGGATCACAACAGTAAATTAGTGACAGATACATGGAAAACTTAGTAATAATAAACCCAACTATTAAATATGGGGAAAATGTTATACAGTAAAAGATAACTAATCATAGGATAAACATGACTGTGCCATGAGTAATATTTATAGACAGAATAATGTAAATTCTGAAAAAATGAATTAATTGATTAATCAAATGTATGATACAGCAAAACTGGGACTATGGGTACCTAAGAGGAATGTGTGATGGGAGCTGAAGAGGGTAAAGTTGGCCAATTTTCATTTTCCACAGTAAGGTAATAATAAATGATGCTCTAAAATGAACAATCAAGAAAGAGCAGGAAAAGCCCTGTTATTTAAAAATATGG